TATAGTCAATTGTGTTGTTGAGCTATTGGTTTGGTTTTGGCTCATATGAGTCTTGAGGGACATTTGCCTGGTTTAATTTTGCTCTATGTCGAGCTTTTGGAGTATTATGTAGTTATGGCATATTTAATTGAAAGTTACATGCTTTCATTGCGTTGGTCATTCGATTGGGGTCATGTAATGTAGCTTGTAATGCAATGTATCCATAGGCATAAGAGTCAATCTTTATTGGTTAAAGTGGGATGATTGTTCCCGTGTTGTGGCCAGAAATAGGCATCGGATCATCGGGGGTATCACGGTACAAGCTCTTGGAGTCAAACACCTACTATTGATCATATGGTGTAATTTCTAATTCGGTTTGATGGGATGCTTATTCCCATATTGTAGCTAGAAATTAGCATTGGGTAATCAGGGGCATTGTGATATGGGCTTATAGAGTCGAACCACGACATTGACCATATGGTATAATTTCTAGTGAATGAGCATACCTAGGATCATCGGAGGTCCCAATTAAGGTATAGATCGTGGATGGTTGAGCTTGTTGACTATTCATCCGTGGTGGAGCTCATTAAGATAGATATGTAACTTACTTTTGTGTTCGTCACATTAAATGGGTGTTTTGACGAACGAGCCTTCATGAAATTGGTAGGTTTTAGAAAGGATGTTGCTTTCGTACTAAATACATTTCATTTTTGGAAATTGTGATTTAAATACCATTTTTTTTAGTTTAGTGTTTGATATTAAAGATGAAGATTGTTTAAATTCACTAGGCGTTAAGTCTAACCCTTTTTACTTGTCGACATGTTTTAAGGTCCTCATTGGTGAATGGTACTAACGATATTGTGATGAGATGTGTGCTAGTTATAAGCATGAGTAGGAATTAGCTATTCCTGACATATTTCATGTGGTGGAGATGATGATCATTGTTGGGTTTTAGTAACACCCGTCCTTAATTATGACTTGTATAAGGTTTGGAATATTGTATATTGATGTTAAATCTTAGATTATCATTATAGGTAGTCAATAGTGGACTCTTAAAAAGGGAATTAACCCTTAATTGATGTTTTGTTGAAAATAGTCGCTCTTTCCAAATTTAAGAGTGTTATAGTTGTATTTAATTATAAGAATCCTGCTACAAGATTCGTATTTTTATTCAATACTGGTGATTGTTTTTATGGTTTGTATTGAGGAGTTTGCATGTATATGTAGGCATGTTCATCGGTTGACATCCATTAAATGTGAGGGGAACTGAATCAATCCAATCATCTATTAGATTAACATTGACAATCGATCCAAATCTAATTTAGTGGATGATTGGATCAGTTTGGTTCCATCTGTTGGGTATTCTTTCTTGGATATCTATTTAGTGGATACAACCCAGTATTATTGGATTTCACCGAATTGGATTCAACCGACATCCAATGGATGATCCGATGGGATTGGATCCATCCATTGTGTTAATTAAATCCAATTTTCCAACAACGAAACAAGTTAATTAATCACTTTTAGTATGTGTAGCGAGACTAAAAATTCAAAAACCAACAAAAAACAAATTCCGATTTAAACAATTTGAAAACAAACTAATTGGTTAATGGTTGGATGGATAACTGGATCTTCATCAGATGGTTGATTAGATGTTGGTTGGTTCGGTTCGATCGGTTCTAGACTTCTGGACTGTCATCCAAGAACCGACCAATCTAAATTAGATGTTGAATTTTTCAATTCAATCCAATTCAATTACAATTGAATATCTAATCATGGTCGGTCGGTTCTAATTAGATTGGTCGTTTCCAATTGGGCCGGTTGACTTTCTATATAACCCTATATATATATATATATATATATATATATATATGATTTTTTTAAAAGAAAATATGATGTACGTTAACCGTGAAAATAGGGATGTTACAAGAAAAAAACTATCATCTTTTATAGTTACTCGATATGTCAAATCGGTTAACTTTACCATCTCTAATAGCAGATGTCATCTTTTCAAAACAACTAAAACAATATAATTTTTATATGACAAGAGAACATATTTATGTTATAAAACTAAGGGTGGCCTCTATATTTAGGGGGTGTTTGGGATTGCTTATCAAAACAACTTATTGATTTATTCTGGTGTGACATCGATAATAAACACTTTTGAGTGTTTGGATAAACAATTTATATTGGTGTCAAACCGATAATAATAAGTTTTTGAAGAAGTTAAACCCTTCTGACTTATAATAAGTTGATAAGTGTTTTTGTAGAAAAACATAAGTTGTTTTAAATAAGCAATCTCAAACACCCCCTTAGTGGTAAAAAAAAGCCCTCTATAATTAGAATATTAATGTGATATTAAGTTTTTATAATTATATATAGTTATATAGACTTGGGATCATATGAGACCAAAGTTTTTTCGTGAGACTCGTAAGACCAATTCTTAATCTTTGGATTAGATCTACAATCTCTATATTCATAATCATAAAATTGCCACAAGATTTCTCAATAATTACAAAATTGCCACCGTGCAATTTTAGACCAGTAGATTGTTAGCTTATAAAGTTGATCAATGAATATAAATTGGTCTCACGAAAAACCCTTGGTCTCACATGAACCCAACCCTAGTTATATATTGATTTAATATATTAATTTTTTAATTATTATAATATTAAAGATGTTTTTGTGTGATTAAAGTTGATATTTTTAATATTTAATGGATCTTTAATGTTTTATTTTTATAATATATTTCTAAACATAATTATTTAAAGCAAAAAGTCAAAATCAAATATCATAAGAATTTTATTATATGGAAACTTTTGCACGAAATATCTTTTAATATATTTTAAAAGATTTCATGAAAGTTGTAAATTTGAAAACAATAATTCAATTTTGGAAACATTAAAAACAAAATCAAAACCCTAAAGAAGTTGCATTGCAGAAAATCTAATTTTTTTATTAATATGGATATCCAACCCATTATACGAGACGACTAATCCTAGAATGACCACCTGTTTTGCAGATAATCCGGAGTCACCGCATTTGAACCTCCGTGACCATAAATTACATTGCAGTAAATCTAATTTTTTAGTGTAAACTATTTATTGTATAATATGTTTTAGTAAGATTTTTGAACCCATTTTATTTGTAAGATGAAATTAAAAGTGATTAAGACGTTTTCTTTTAAAAACAATGTGAATAAATAGTTTTTAGGGAAAATTAAATCAAAATGAAATCAATTTTGACCGAATTTCTATTTTTGAAAGCCAATTTTCAAAGCGTCTCAAACAAACTTTTCATATATTTAAGGGTTTTGTTTACTCATTGACCTACTCATAATGACATGTAGGTAAATGTGAGCTAAGATTCCACATCATAATTAAGATTTATAAAAATATAAATAAAAATAATGACATGATAATTAAGATTTATATTATTTACATTTCACTTCCCCATTACATTTTTCCACGGCCCCCAACCCCAATCGAAACCGTTACTCTAACCAAAAAAATCTATTGAAATCAATAAAAAAAAACCAACAAAGTTATTCGAAATCGACAAAAACACTAAAAAATCCCTCAAAATCAACCAAAAAAACTTTAAAAATCTGTCGAAACGTTGTAATTAGGTTAAAAACACATCGGAAGATTTTACGGGTTTTTAGTCTACCTTAAAGGTGAATCCATTGAACAAAAATCCTGGATCCGCCACTGCCCATCGCCAACAACCACCCGCTCTCTCCCTTTCCCTCCTAACCCACTATACTTAAAAATACCAACCATTATCGTATTTTAACCTTTATCCGAGTTTTATCTGTTACTAAATCATTTGAATTTGACATCACTGATTTCTAATCTTTACAATGGATTTCATTGGATGATTACCCTAACATCCACGATCTTATATAATCAGTGTTTTATACATTAAAATCCAAATTAGTTCATGTTTCAATAATTAAAAGCATGATTAACATCTTAAACAGATTCTTCAAAATATATAATACTGAGATTTTGAAGATTTTAACCCAATTTTATTACTTCAACAAATCTTCTCAAATTTTCTTCAAAATAAAAAGAATTAGGAAATAAAGCTTATAATATCCCAATTTATAAATTTCTCCAAAAATTTATTGTTAAGAGAAATTATTATTTTTAATAGTTTCTACCAAGCTAATTGTATTATTAATTTACTAGAATGGTACTCGTGCAATGCATCAAGATACATCTTGATTTTAATGTTTCGTTTTATTCATTTTTATGTCGATATAATATGGTTTTATGTGGTTATGAGAAAACGATAATGTTTTTATTTTTGAATAAAATATTATAAAATTGAAAATTATATTTCAGAGTTTTTATGTTTAAAATGATGTTTATCATGTATTATCTTAATGATATTTCAGAGTTTTTATATTTAAAATGATGTTTATCATGTATTATGTTTATCTGCAGTTAGTTATACGAATTCAAATATAGAGCTTTAATAAATTGTACTTGTGCACAATTTACTTGTAATCTTAAATTTTAAGTAATATACATCAATAAACAATACTTCATGTATAAAAAATGGTTTTAAAGAGTTTTTGTCAAATGTTTTATAATATAATGTAGATATAATGTTATCTGTAATTTTATTAAAATATTAAATCTACCATTAATAATATAATTAATGATGTAATATTTAAAATGAAAAAACCGTTCAAATTAATTGTAGATTCTTTTAATATTATGATTTTTAATTTTTTTTCAAAGAAAAATATGAGAAATGCCCTACACTTTAAAAAGAAAATAGAAGAGTAGAACAACATATAAAACAAAACTTTATTTGTAAATTAACATATGTTAAGGACCTGATTTGAATTAGCAATTGTATAAGGGACTTCTATTAAACAATTATAAAGTTGAAGGAGGCAAAATGAAAATTCTCGTTGGGTCTAATGGCTCCTTTGCAGGCCTCCATTGAAGTCGTCTCTTTTATCATCTGTTTCACACTCATCTGCATTCACTGCTCCCACCACACCGTCACATCCCACAACCAAGAACAGACTCCTTCTTCATCCTCTTGGATAAAAACAAAACCCTTTTTCACATTTTGTGACCCCAAGTTTCATCTCTTTTTCATTCCATCAATATACAGCTGATTCACATTATTTTATTCATCTTTTTCTAAACCCCCAAAGAATCTATCAATCTGTCACCATCTGATGCTGGCCGTCCAGTTCAAACCGGCCTGGCTGGCTCTTCGCTAGATTTATGCTTTCATTTTAGCAATATCTTCTCTGTTCTATACAACGCATCCACTCAATCTGTGGTTTAATTCGTCAAATCTGCTGTTCTTCATCTGTCAGGTGTCTTCTTTTTTCTCGATCTTATATGGGTATTCGATTGTTTCATCAGTTTCTTTCTTGTTGATACTGATCTGGATCTGCGCTCAAGAACCCTAGATTTCATCTGTTTCGATTTTTCTGAAAACCCCCATCTTCGTTTCGGTGAAATCTAGCTAAATCTTTGGATATTATGATGGGTTTTGGGGGTTTCAAGTTGTTGTTCATCTGGGTTCTGTTCTTGTTGTGTTTATCACCATCTTTTTCCCAATTTAATCCTGCTGATAAGTATTCCATAGATTGTGGATCTCCCAGCAATACCAGCATCGGAAGTCGTGTGTTCTTATCTGATAATTTGGCATCAAGTTATCTTTCAACCCCACAAAATGTTCTTGTTGATACTTCTGCAAATTCAATCCCACAATCGGAATACTCACAGCTCTATAGAACAGCAAGAATCTTTAGCCAACCTTCAACCTACACTTTTCGAATTATTCAAAGCGGTCGTCACTGGATCCGTCTCTATTTCTTCCCATTCTCTGCAAGTAATTACGATCTCACGTCTGCAACTTTCTCCGTTTCCACCCGAAATCACGCCCTGCTAAGCGATTTCAAAGCCAATGGTGCTTCTGTCAAAGAATATTCAGTAAATATTACATCTGGTGATCTCGAAATCACCTTCACCCCTTCTGGGACTTCATTCGCTTTCTTGAATGGATTAGAAGTCGTTTCGGTGCCGGATCCGTTGATCGCCGATGATGCTACCTCCGTCAAACCTCCGACGAACTACCGTGGGTTGTTGAACCAGGCTCTGGAGACGGTTGCAAGGGTGAATATGGGTGGTCCGATCGTTACATCCCGGAATGATTCGTTGTGGAGAACTTGGGTACCGGATCGGAGTTTTTTGAAGAACCCAAATCTTGCCACCAATAAGTCTAATATCCCCGCCGTTCGATATCCCGACGGCGGTGCTACACCAGATGATGCTCCCCGGAGCGTTTACGGAACCGCCGCCAGGATGGCATCGGAAACTGACCCGAAAAGCAATTTCAATGTCACTTGGGAGTTTCCAGTGGACCGGGGATTTCGGTATCTCGTTCGGCTTCATTTCTGCGATATCGTTAGTGATACTGCTAACAAACTCTACTTCAATGTTTACATCGATGATTCGAGTGTTCTATCGGATTTCGATCTTTCTACAAAAGTGGAAGGAAATCTGGCGACCGCTTACTATGCTGATTTCGTGACACAATCGATCGATGATGACCAAATTCGTATCAGTATTGGGCCATCGGGTATACGAGATGTGTACCCGAATGCGATTCTGAACGGTGTCGAGATTATGAAGATGAATAACTCGGATGGTAGTCTTTCTGGGGGAGACATTCCATCGTCTAGCTCAGGCTCGAAGAAGAAAAATGTGGGTGTGATCGTGGGTGTGGTCGTTGGGTTAGCCGCGGTTCTGTTAATGGGTCTGGTTTTGTTCTTCGTTTACAAACGAAGAAAACAAGAACGGATTAACCAATCGAAGATGTGGACTCCGTTATCGACCAACGGATTATCACAAACGATGGGAAGCAAATGCTCAAACGGAACAACGATCAGTGCAGGTTCGAACTTCAATTACCGGTGTCCGTTTGCGGCGATTCAAGAAGCGACCAACAATTTCGACGAGAGTTGGGTGATCGGTATCGGTGGTTTTGGGAAAGTTTACAAGGGTGTGCTGTCCGATGGCACGAAAGTGGCGGTCAAAAGGGGTAACCCGAAGTCGCAACAAGGGTTAGCTGAGTTCCAAACAGAAATTGAGATGCTTTCTCAGTTCCGCCATCGCCATTTGGTGTCATTGATCGGTTATTGTGACGAAAAAAGCGAGATGATTTTGATATACGAGTATATGGAAAACGGGACGTTAAAGAGTCATCTTTACGGGTCGGGTTTCCCAAGCATGAGTTGGAAGCAGCGACTCGAAATTTGCATCGGTGCGGCACGTGGACTACACTACCTTCACACGGGCTATTCCAAAGCCGTGATCCATCGTGATGTGAAGTCTGCAAACATCTTGCTCGACGAGAATCTCATGGCCAAAGTTGCGGATTTCGGGCTCTCGAAGACGGGACCCGAGATCGATCAGACCCACGTGAGCACGGCAGTCAAAGGGAGCTTCGGGTACCTTGATCCGGAGTACTTTAGACGACAACATTTGACTGAGAAATCGGACGTGTACTCATATGGGGTCGTTCTATTCGAGGTTTTATGCGCACGGCCTGTAATCGACCCGTCTCTACCCCGGGAAATGGTGAATTTGGCCGAATGGGCGATGAAATGGCAGAAAAAGGGGCAGCTCGAGCAAATAATCGACGTCACTCTCAAGGGAAAAATCCGACCGGATTCTCTTAGAAAATTTGGGGAAACTGCGGAGAAATGTTTGGCGGATGTTGGAGTTGATCGACCTTCAATGGGAGATGTTCTGTGGAATCTTGAATACGTTCTTCAACTTCAAGAAGCGGTTCTTCAAAACGACCCAGACGAAAACAGTACAAATGTGATAGGAGAGCTGTCTCCGCAGATCCATGACTTCAATCATGCGGATGCGAACACGGGAACGGCTCAATTCGAAATGTCGAGCGGGGATGACATTTCGGGGGTATCGATGAGTAAGGTTTTCTCGCAGCTGGTGAAATCCGAGGGTAGATGAACAAACCCACGGAAAAAGAGTCAAGGCTAATCGATTATTTTCGTTTTATTTTCATACAGAGTTTGAAGAACTTGGTGTTCTATATGTAGTTTTTGGTGCTTTTTATGCTCTTTTTATTTATTTATTTATAAATGATGTAATCAGCAACTTATTTGATTATTTGATCTGTTTTAATGTTGGATTTTGGACGCCATTTGTGTTTCAATTGCTGAATCTGCTTTGCAAATGGCTGGGTTTGGTCTTGGGTGTGCCATTTAGGTGATGGGTCTGGTTTTGGTTTTGGTTTTGGTGCACCAAGGTTCCTTGGCAATGGCTTGGGTGGGAAGTTTTATCAAGTGGCTTTCAGGTTATAAAAGGAGTCAGCGTTAGACATTTGTGGCTCATTGGCAATGGCTAAATGGGAAGTTACCCACACAAGGGTTTTCTGCCCTTCGGTCAAATGACCTTTTATAATGAGATTGCTTGTTTAAATTGGTTATTGACTTATTTAAGTGTGTTTTTAGTGTTTGGATAGAAAGAAAAAAAAAAAAGGTTATATCAGTGTCAAACAGGTAACAAAGAGTTTTTGATAAATTACTCATTTCTTACTTATCAGAAACAATTTATCAACTTTAAAAACTTTTTAACCCTAAGCCTAATACTTCTCAATCAGTCATGTCTCCCTCCATGTGTTCTTGCTTGTTTCACCATTGCATCATTTCCATAGATGGGAATCTTTCTCTCTCTCATGCATACCAAGAACACACTCACAATGGGAATAGCAGCAGAATCAATAGAAATCAACGAAGACGGTGATTGATTGATCAAAACAATTCTGACTTATGTAAAAAATCGGTATTGATCCACTTCTTAATTCCTATTTGCAAAAGATGGAGATAATCGGAAGGATGCTTTGGTTAATGTCGATGAATACCCAAAAAATCATCTATGGAGGTTGAAGGAGATAGAGTTACAATATCGATTGGAGATGGAAAACCGAGAGATGGAGATGGGGTTTATGTTATGCAATTAGGGTTACAAAAGGATGCTAATCCAAATGTCGATGAATACCCAAGAATCATCCATGAAGGTTAAGGGAGATAGAAAATGTCCTTTTTAGTCATTTTACATATACAATCAAAATTTGCCAAACACTGAAAAACAACTTATCAGTTTATTGTGTTTTGGTATCGCCATAAGCTAATACAAACACTTTTTATAAAACTCCAGTTTGAAACCAAATAAGTTAATAAACACTTTTACAAAAAAAAAAAAAAAAACATAAGTTGTTTTAAATAAACAATCCCAAACATCCCCCAAGTGTTCTTTTAAATGACTTTCTAAATTGAGTTTTTAATTAAATTCACAACCTCCAGTTCTATATAAGAAAAAATGGATTTAAAAAAATTATGAATTTAACTAAAATCTCATTTAAGGTTATATACCTAAAAATCTATTTAAGAAGGCCTCGAAAACACTAGTAACCTTTCATATCACAAAAGATGTAAGCTTGAGACCCTTTTGGTCTCCCTCGTGGCACCATCGACATGGCACAGACGGTTTGCCTGGAAAAAGGTCACCAAGGAGTAAGCTTTAAGGGCCTTTAATGTTTCGTTATCCAATAAGCCTCGTATGATTAAGCTATCTGAACAAGGCATAGGCCAATCATCAAAAGCTCACTAAGGAGTAAGCTTTAGGGCCGATTGTATGGATTAAATTGTCTATATGAATTAAGCTATCGAACAAGAAAATGGGCAAGAAAACAATGGGCATAAACATTGATCTTCTTATTGCTTGAAGCTCTTTTGGATAGACATAGTAACCAACAACCAACATCAAGAAGATGAACAAGATTCAAGAATTTAAATACCAAGTGCACCAACGATACTATCATCATCATCATCACCATCATATCCTTAACGAACTGCCCTATTAATCGATTATATATATATACGTGTGATTAATCATATTCAAGCAATCAATCAACAGCAACAAGTTGCACACCTGATCAGTCCATTCTCATTGCAATTTGGACACCTAATCGACCTCCCTTCTTCTTCCTCGAAAACCTTCCTGCTCCCATTGCAATTCGGGCATGGCACAAATCTTGCATCTCCACAAGCTTCACAAACAAATCCAGGATCGATAACAGGAAACCCCTTCATAAAATCAAACAATTTTCCTTCTTCGTGAAGTAGTCTGATCTCATCGGCACCACCGATAAGCTTTCCTCTGATGAACACTTGTGGCAGACTGAATCCTTTGCCTTCAAACACACCCTGCAATTCCTTTCTGTAATCCGAATCCATTGAAATATCCCTTTCATCTACGAACACTCGAAACCCTTTCAAAATCAATCGAATTTCACAGCAATCTTCATAGGTTTTTCTGATTCCTCTTAGACTTGTGTAGTATAAAACGATTCTATCTTCAGAACCAGATAAACGAAAACCCAGATTGTTGTCAGTTGGATCATCAGCGACTGTAATCTCACTAACAGATTGAGTTACTGATTTGGGTTCTTTGCAACCCAAATGCCGAGAGGATAATGCTTTTTTATAACTAGAAACCAAATTAGAATCCATTTTCGATAGCAGTGATTCTTCAGATAAATGCTTCCATAAAGGCTTAGTATCTGAATACTCCACCAATTCATAAGGACCACCTAAACCGAATGAAACGTAGCTTTTTTCCTTCGACCCATTACTGATTTTCCCCTTGTACGAACTGGGTTCCTTCGAATTAACATCAATGATATCGAATTCATCATCCAATCCTTCCATGAGCTCCCAGGTGTTAATCACCGAGTCCGGAGACGACGCCGGATATTCTTCCGGAGTTTTGTTGGTGTCGGTGGAGGTGATGCGGCTGTTATGGTTGTTGGCGTCGTCGATGAGGATTAGGGAACCATAAGTGGTGGAAGTGAGGGATACAAAGTGATTGGAATCGCCTTTTCGCAGCGGCGGGTGGTGGATGAGCGGCGTGGGAAGAGACATGGTTCGAGAAACAGGGGTTTGGGTTGAGGAAGAGTTGTAATACTGATCTGAGAAAGGGGAGTAGAAATGGTGAGGAGATGGTGAAGAAGTGGAGGAATTGGAGGGTGGGTGTTGGTGATCAGGGAAAGGGGAGGCGGCGCTGGTGGTGATGGTGGTGGTGGTGAAGGTGTACGGCTGAGAAGGACGAGAAGCAGAACAACCCATTTGAATTGAAGGAATAGAATTGCTTGATTGTTGATTTGCAGTAGAGAAGATGGGTAATCTTGGGTTTGATGGAATGGACAAGAAAAGTGAAGATGAGAATGGCGAGATGGAGCTTTCAGAAGGTTTGAGGGTATGGTGTTTTGGGGGGGATGATTGATGAAGATGATGAAGAAGAAAAGAGAGAGAGAAATTGGGAATTTAATGGTGGGTTGTTAGTTGATACAAGCAATTGACTTGGCTTTAATTTTGGGTAATTTTGAATTTATTTTCATGTTGAAGCAAGAGTTTAATGTGTATATTTTAGATCATGTACTTTTATAAACCAAATATTCTGATGGGTGTATTGTTATAATTAAATGTTCAAATCAATTTTTTTTTTTTGCTTATTTGAAACAACTTATTTTTTTATAAAAAAATACTTAGAATTGTTTTATTTTTTCAAAAGCTTCTTATTATCGGTTTAACACAGATATAAGCTGTTTATCTAAACACTCAAAAGTACTTATAACCGATACCACAAAATATAATTAGTTTATTAACTTTGATAACTAATTTATGAGTCAATTAAGATGTGTTTGAGATTGTTTATAAAAATAAGTTATTGACTTATTTCGATGTATAATTAGATAAAAATAAAACAAAGCTCCTGAACCTATATCTTATTAAAACATTATCTGAACTAGTTTTTAAAATAGTAGTTTATGACCAATCAAATGAGGAGGGTTTTTAATAATCACAAAAATAAATTAGTTTGTGATTGTTAAATATTGTTTTTTACAAGAAATATATGGGAAGGAATGTAATGTTACTATTTTGTGATGAAAAGTAATTGTTTATTTAAATATAAATATGTTGTTATTTTATATATTTAATGTAAAATGAGTACAAACCTTCTTATTTGAAACCCATCAACAATCACATTTTGAGTAATTAAGTTTTTAAATTTTTCTTAACGGTAAATTTTTGAACTTTTTAAAATCGAACAAATAAATCTTTGAATATTTTGAAATCGATCAAATAAATCCTTGAACTTGCTAAAACCAAGAAAAAAACCCAACAAGCTTTCATGTTTTTGGTGATTAGGTCCTGGAATAATTTTTGACAAATAAATCCTTACGGTTATAAAATAAAATAAATATTACCATTTCTTTTTTCATGTATCAACAAATCAATAAAAAATACAACAGACCAATAAAGCAAAAAAAAATATACCATTTTATTATCCATTACTTATTTTTCATATTTAAATGACAATCAATGTATGTGTTATGATCATGTGATTGTCATTTCAAGACGAAAATTAAATAGTTATTAATCTTTTTATGATTCTTATTTGAATTTGGAAAAAAAAATAATACAGAATGAAAATGGTATTTAATCATTTTCTATTTGTTTATTGTATTTTGTTACTGATCTAAGACATTAATCAAGACTTGATATATTACTGTTGTTTTACAAGTGTAAGGACTTGATTTCAGGAAATGTCTAAAGACTTCATCATTTAAAATATAGAAGTTCATTGACTTTTTATCTTAAAAAAGTTTAAGAGTTCATTTTTTTTTACTTTAAATTTTTTTAAAAATTTATTGATTAAAAAGTCTCATAAATTTAATCACTTAAAATATGATAGTTCCACTTAAGTTTTGTAAACCCTTTCCTTAATATAACAATAATAGTATTTGACAAAATTAAAGAAAGACATAAATAGAAAAGAAATATTTGAATTTTAGAAAATATCGTTGTCTATGTTATTAAGATATATAAAATGTTTTAATACAACTCACATCATTATACAAATCAATCAATTTATATGTATATGTATATGTAAAGTTTGTTTCAAATACAATCTGTTGCATTTGTACAACCAATACAACCCAGTAAATTGAGATATTTATGGAAATAATGAGAGTTCATTTATTATGATTTGAATATTTATGGAAGATTAATATGTTTCATTAATTATGATCAATATTTTATATTAGGAAACAATCAAAACTTTTATGAAATCACATATTAATCAAATGAAATGGATGGCGAGATTGGGTTGTATTGGTTGCACAAATGTCATGGGTTGTATAATAACCAACCTCTGTATATGTATATGTATATGTATATGTATATGTATATGTATATGTATATGTATATGTATATGTATATGTATATGTATATGTATATGTATATGTATAT